GACATACTGGACCAACGGAAATTCAATAATGCCAAAATACGACGATGGCAAGAAGAAATTTCATATTATAAATCTTAGAATATGTCGAAGGCGAATCAAATGTATGGGCTGACATGCTCAGCAGAGGTTGCGGACATAAGAAAACGAAAGACCCGAACGACCCTACACCGGCAGGCAGGACATTCGAGGTAAGTGGTTCAGACCTCCGCGTATACATCCCATCTTGGTGCCTCGGCGAGTTTAACGGTTTACAGCTCATTCCCAAAACTCGCACACCACAAAACGCCCGCACCCACAAGCGCGTCACCAACGCATTCTTCGACTATCACTCTACCACCACCATCCCCACGGAGAGAATCTGCAACCACCTCGGCATCGCAGATGAACAACAGAAGGATGACGCCCTGGCAAAGATCATCAGCGCCCTCCAGTCACCCACTCCATGCGAAGCTCATATCGATCCTGACGACCACCGAGCTACGCTTTTCAAAAAACATTTCCACCAATTTTTTCTAGAACCAGGCACTTCCGTTTTGATGATAAGAGACAGTAAACACTCTCCGAGATTGGCTGTACCATACAAACTACGATCCAGATACCTCTACCAGGCACACGAGGGCAACAACCACTCAGGCGTTACCCGTATGCGAAAACTCCTTTCCAGCTACTGGTGGGAATTCCGCAACATCAAGGCCTATGTCGATTCTTCCGACACGTGTGCTAAGTGCAAGGGCAACTACGGTAGACGTATCCACTGGTCCATTGGCCACTGAAAACGAGGAAAGAGACCATTCCATCTCGTCTTTATATACTTTGTCACAATGCCCAACTCAAGGGGAAAACGCTACATCCTAACCATCTTGGATAGCTTCAGCCGACACGAGAGACCGTGCTATCGACGCCGCCCGCGGATCGTACCAGTTCTTCCTTCGACACAGAGAGATTCCACGCATAGTATCCTCTGATCGAGGCACACACTTCACTGGAGAAGTCTATCGATAATTCTGTAACCAGATGTCAAGAACTTCATTGTCTTTGGCACCCGCAAAGCTCAGGAAATATCGAGAGACAACATCGCACGATGAAGAACGCATTTTATATGTTATGCGAAGACAGGAACCGTGAATGGACATCGGCCTACCTACACTACACAGAAAAGAAATCGCAAGTGACTATCCTGGAGCATATGGAATACAAATTAATGCCCTGCTAGAGCAGGTTCACCACCACGTCACTCTGGCCGACGATGGAGCTGACCACAAACTTGAGACTAACTTAAATCGCCTCACATACAAGGACCCAATACAAGTAGGCGACAAGGTTTTACTTCACCGGCCAAACTCAACTGTTGCCCAATCCTCTCATCTGCCCTGGATAGGAAATTACACCATTATAAAAACAAACAATATGATGTGTCAGGTGCAAAACGATAATGGTGATACAATCTGGATTCACTGTGCACATATCCGACGACTGGCTCCACGTCCAACACTATTTAATACAATCCCTCTGCCTCCACCATGTAACAGTCACCAGGATCATTCTCCTCCACATCCCTCTGGGACAAATAATTCAGCAAATAACTCCATACCAAAACAAATGCCAATAAGAACACTAGGACAACTTCCCACACGCTTCAGAGACTTTATCATGAATTAATCACCCAAATATACACGAATAACGCTCACTGTAAATCAGACCGAGACCTGGGGGAGCCTTGTTATAAAATAAAATAAGACATATCTCGGCTGATTTGCAGGCAAATAAACTAACATACTCAAGAGCGAGAGCCGGATGTGAACGGAACAAGGCCCCGTCACAAAAAGTGTTTCTATTTTTCGACCAATAAAAATGCTTCTCTCCTAATTATACTCGCGTCGTTTTTCGAAAAAAAATTTTAAGCCATAAAAACGCCATAAAAACGCCATAAAAGGGGTCACACGGGGAAGTATAACAGCTGTCAACAGGAGGCCAGGGAAGAGACCTGTCAGCAGGAGCGCCACACCAACCAGTGAGAACTACTATGAGAGATCATCCCAGTTCGGCAGCGCTTATGAACTATACCAACCAGTGTCCCAAAAGAACGTTCCTATTGAAATAAATCAGAGATCATTTCCCAGTTCGGCAACCATACCTTTTCTATAACAATAGGAACTTTATATTCACGAATGAGAGTATTGTTAATTATTAGTAATCCCAAATCCTATTATTGACAATATCCTGTTGATGACATTATGCTATGTCGAAAATACTTGGAAATAAATGCAATATGAACCAACACGTCGTTTTCCTCTCGTCTTTCAATAACCACACAAAAAACGAGATTAAGTAGATAGAACATGTCTAAATTATTTAACGAAACCTGCCTTAGTATGTGTGTGTGTGTGTGTGTGTGTGTGTGTGTGTGTGTTAATGCGTGTATATACATACTCGTGAAACCTGGAGGTTAGTCCATCTTCTTCGAAGGAAAACTCTGAATTTAAATCTCCGCTGCCTTGCGGCCATACAATATCCAATCCTGGGAAAAGCATCGAGAGTAAACCCTGAAGACAAATCCGGAGCCGGAGTCCTTAAGAGAGTCCGATGTTATATTCACCTTCGTTCTGGCAACTCCTGCGGCGACACTGGTGTCAAGTTGTATTGGACTCTACCTTTCTCTTGGACAATATCGGAAGGGACACGCACTGCATGCACAACCGCCGATCTCTCATAAAACTCTACGCCCTGGCGAATCACTTCACCGCGACACCTATACACGGGAAGCAACAGTCTACTGATGGCAGGATGTCCTATTATACGGAGAACTGGCCACCGGCAAGAGGTCACGAGGGCGACTTGATCTTCGCTTCAAGGAAGTCTGCAAAAGTGACATGAGGTCGATGGACATGGACATTGAGAGGTGGGGAGAAGTCGCCGACGATCGTTCACGCTGGAGACGCGATTTACACCGAGGCTTGGAGCGAGGAGAGAAGAAATGGAAACTTGTCGCCGGGATGAAGCATGCTCGAAGGAAAGAAAACAACACGGCGATATAGGGTGAGAACACCTTCACATGCATTGGTTGCAATCGAGACTGTCATTCCCATATGGGCCTGTACAACCCTAACTGATGCTGCGCCGCCATCAGCAGCTGAGGTATAATTTTGGGGTGCAGATCCATGGTCTCTTGAAACCGGCGGATGTCACACACACACACACACACACACACACACACACACACACACATGCACATCTGTATGTATATAGCATATTTATTTATTTTCGTCTCTGAAAATTCAAGAAATCATATTAAAGAAAAATATGCCTTCCGCGGCAGGATATGAACGTGTGTTCCCCTTTGCAGGAAAAACCGTCTTTACATCCAACGTGCGTGCGTAGCCGATCAAACATAGTCAAATAAACGCAAATATTTCCCAGATTCTCGAAAGTTCATATCTGCTCAGTTTCGTATCTGAACGTAAACAAAGCAATTTCTAAAGAAGTAATGGATTTTTTATTTATTAATCCGACGGACTTTATCACTTTAAACTTTATTTTTAGTGGATATTCGTATTTGAGTAGACTCTATTTATTTAAGAAACAGCATATTTATTCATTTCGTCTACCGGCCTGAATATTCGAGAAATCTTATTAAAGAAAAAGAGAGCATATATTTGTCTTTAGTAAGATTTCAAATACCTACACTAAAAAAATTATTATCATGATGATGTCTAACGTAATAAACCCTGCCTGTTGCAGCTATGTCCTGTCTCCCCGGTGGTTCTGGCCAAGAAAAGGAATTGACCCGATCTCCTCCCGGGGAACTGAAGGAACCACCAATATTCGCCACGTTGTGAATTCTTGATCCGAACAGCAGTGTATCGGTCTCCCCAGAACGGTCCGGTGGGAAGAGGAGGACATGGCTGGGTATTACGCTGAAAGGAAATCACTATTCATGCAAAAAAAAAGTTTCTTGTCGTAGCCGCAAAGACATGAAAAGGAAAAAATAAGCAACTCTTTCGGTTCCTATACAAAGAGCCGTTTTTAGGCCCCTGTTTTTATGTAACTACCGAAGAATTTACACGAGTACAAAATGTCGTAACGAGGTTCACCCGTTTGGGGTTGGAAGTGACTGAGAGAGAGTAGGAAAATTTCTGCCTAAACAATTTCGGCTGATCTAAGGGAAGTTATTCGGGGATCTTCGTCGGAGCGTGTAATTATAGCAGTTTGGTTTCTCAGCTTTGTTGGCAAAATTAACTGGTTTCATACAGGGTTTGTTTCTATTTCTGGGTTCGGATCGGACCTCTTGGGCGCGTGACAACCAACCAACCAGACCAGCAAATTCCAACAAGCCGTCTCTTTCCCGGTTCTGCGATCTGACTAACTCAAGCGTGCGGACAGCTTATATAGAGAGAGGCGGAGCTAAACCATCTTTAGGCATCGCCCCCGAATTTTAATATGCAAATCGACCACCATGCAAGCTTTTCCGGTCCCTGAAACTCAGCGGGAACCCAGTTTTCAAGATATACTAAAATTGGATTCGGACCTCCTGTTGGGTCTTCCGCAGACAACGTCTACTTAAGTTTTGCCAAAACCACTTATCCCGTCTGGTTGAATTCCGTCATTCAGACCACCCAAAAGTTCAATTCGCCATTTATCTCAAACTTTACTTTAACGATTCCGTCTCTTAATCACTCTGGAATTATTACACTTAATTAACTAATAACTCAGCCCCAGAAACAATTATTAAAAGAAAAAAAACAAGAGAAAAAAAACTTATTTCTGGAATTACTCCGGAATCCATTCTACCCAAGTAATTAGCACCTTCATCCTAATTCTTTTGCACTGTTGATTACTAAATCCACCTCTTTTCTCTCTCTATGTCACAGATGCATGAAAAGTTATTGAGTCAAAAAAATGTCATATTATTGCCTGATTCTAATTGACTCATGCAATTCGATATGTTCGTTCTGATCTTTGTTGCAGTCTTTACATCAAAGAATTGCTTCTTGTATTTTCAGGTGTCAGCTCCTGGCATACGTCTCCCCAGAAAAGATCGTTTGTACCTAAGTGTCTTCATATTTGGGCAATACAAAATCACAAAGCTTGTGAAACGGAACTTACCATTAATATTTGAAGAAAAATTCCAATTTGATAAGGTAATGTGAATCCAGCCAAATTTTATACTGTTTCTTTAGTTTTCTACTTTGCTCAATAAAAAAAAAGCCAATGAGATCTCTCCAGAAGAATTCCAGTTATTGTGAATATATCAAAACAGCTTTGATGGAACTTTGAAAGGAAAAACATTATTAACAGTTTCTTATGGGCAGTTTCGGTTTGCCAAGAAATTTATTTGTTTTTCTATTAGATCGTATTAAGAGCTTTTAGTTTTAACTAATTTAATTCAAAAAGATACATTTTGATTGGATTGTGACAGTTGTATAACAACTGTCACAATCCAATCAGCTTGCATTTTTATAAATTGTCAAAATTAGCATTTTTTTAAAAATCAGTTTATCCCAAGAAGGTCAATAAAGCCACTAAGATACAAAGAGTTATTAAGTGTAAGAGAATATGGAAAAAGATTTAAAGGAAGAGAACAATAAAAGGACAGGAATTAAGAAAACAGAAGATAACGATTGGCATTGAATTTAAATTTTTGATGGTCAAAGTTGACTAGAAAGCAAGAAGCCAGAAGAGATTTCCACAAGCAAGAAGTATAAGAGAAGAAACTGTTAGCATAGAACGTACGGTTGCATCTCGCCATTTCAACAGTAAAATGATGAGGCCTTTCTGCCAATCTAGTACTAGGCTTAAATTCATAAAGTCTAGGTACCATAGAGGAAAGTTTGTCAGAACAATTGCCATGAAAGTATAGAAAAGGCACAGAGAAGCTACGTTACGGCAGTGGGAAAGGGACTGAAATTGAAATGCCAGGTCAGGGCTGATAACATTGCAGATTCTTCTTCGTATTTCGTCAAGAATCTGTAAATGCGTAACAGAAGCACCAGACCAGATATAGTAGCAATATTCAATGCATGGATGAATGGTAGACTTATAAATGTGAAAGATAGATTCTGGTATGAAAAAATGTCTAGCATGACAGAGTGAACCAACTTTCCAAGCAGCAAACCTAGCAATTAGTTCAATATATCTTTCCATTTCATGTCAGTGGAAAACATTAGTCCGAGAATCTACAATAAATCACTCTTCTAGAGCTTAGCATTAGCCATGATGATAGAAGGTAAAATGGTCAGATGATTAAGAGAGAGCAGCTTCATTTTGGCCTCATCTCAGACGGATTCAATTATAGAGTTAAGTTTCATAAACAACAATAACAATTTCCTACATATCCTCATAAATTACACTTCCTATTTCCTCCTTCTCTTATACAACAACCTCATTCAATAACTGTCTACCTTGAGTTGCTTTTGGTCTAACCTCATAGACTGACCGAATGGTAGAGTGAAGTTTCATAAATAACTGTAACAGTTTCCCACATATCCTCATAAAGTACACTTCTTCCCTTTTTTATATTCATACCACAATCTCATTCACTAACACTCTACTTTGAGTTGCTCTTGGGCCTTGCCTTATAGACTGATTCAATTGTAGACTGAAGTTTCATAAATAACTAATAATTTATCAAAAAAAGAGGGTAAGTATGATTAAAGAATAATCAAATGTTTTGGCAAAATCTTGGAATTACCACAAATCCTTGCTGATTAAAAGATTCAATATGATCCAGAAATTTTCTAAAACTTTTCTGTTAATCTCCATTTTGACTAAACAACGCTTTTTTTTCTCAAAGACAAACTGAGTTTGCTATTTTGATTTCATCAGATATGTGTGTTGTTGATTGTCTGATTTGTTATCAAAATCAGGAAGAGTCTGTTGAATATGAGAATCTGATCTGATTTTAATTGGCAGAAGATGCCAGCAAGATACTGGCAAACATTTCCCATATTATAATGTTTATCATCCAAGCCTACAAAGTCTGTACGTCTGAACAGTCATTTGAATCAGAGCCACTTATGTAAAATGTTCAGTATATACGTCATGGCAAACATTTAACTTTGTTATAAGATCGCTTGGCTACACACCAATAAGTTTGCCAAATTAGTGAACATTTCTAACGAGGTAAAATACTCAAAACAAACCTCATGATAAACATTCAATTTTTATGCAAGTCACTAAGAATGCTGAGTATATGGATTTCCTCAGCTCTATAGAAGATAAAATTGGAATCAGGTTGTAAAGTATATAGAACAAACCACATGATTAACTCCAGATACCATCATCAGATCACTGACACACTCAGATGAGTCATATCATACAATTAGGATATATTATTTTCCTTATAACACACACACACACACACACACACACACACACACACACACACACACAGATATATATATATATATATATATATATATATATATATATATATATATACAAACAGGTTTTATTAATTTTTGTCTGAATTTCTAGAACGAGGAATTATCAATATTCACACTATTTATATTCGGACTATAGTCCTCATTTTTGTTGTTTTTATCACGTTTCAGCCATTGTGCGCTCCGGCTTTCCTCAGGTGTACATCAATCTCGGTAACATACAGGGAATTCCGAATTCTTTTATATGTTGAAGTTATGAATAAATTATCCAACGTTTTTTTTCTTGTTATATTCAAATACTTATTAATATCTCAGTCATTGTCAAGAACAGGTGTTATCAGTCTGGTAAGCAAGATTTAATTGACTAAATTCTGGTGTTTTTAGATTGCTGGACTTGAATTTAGAATCAGTTCAAAGTAATGTCATTTGTAACAGTAAAATAGAAAATTATGTATCATACACGAATAAGTGCTTGTTTTTAGACACATGTGGCATGAGGACGGAAATAAACACCACAACAATCAATCATTAAATGTAAAAATGGTTTCTGACCCAGAGGATTATACATCCCTCTGGTTAATAAATGAATCCTTTAAAAATGAATATTTAACATTTTCAACAAATCGGGCTCATTCCCACTAACAATAAAAAATATGCTTCATGATCCCATTGAAGTGTATTTAAGCAAAGCTTCTAGACGAGACAAGCCAATAAGGAGATAGAGATGGATACATGTGACATCAGTTCACGACAGCGTTGCAAAGAAATTCTCTTACCCATTCACCCATCTTCTTCACCAAGTTACGTAACGCTTATACTTTGCTCCTCACTTTCTGATTGTTAAGTAAGCAACATAGATTGGAAAGAAACAAGTAGACATAATAGTCTTAAGCTGTCTGGATTTCTTTGATGAAGCATTGTCATTATTAATTTGGGGCTAGTTTTTCTTATCATCTTATTTTTATTGTTTTTTATGGCAACTTTTCTACATTCTCTGATTGTTAAGTAAACAACATAGATTGGAAAGAAACAAGTAATGACAATGCTTCATCAAAGAAATTCAAACAACTTAAGACAACTTAAGACTTATTTCCAATCTGTGTTGCTTACTTAACAATCAGAAAATGTAGAAAATTTGCTATAAATATAAAATGAAAATAAAAACTAGTTCAAAATTAATGACAATGCTTCATCAAAGAAAATCGGATAACTTTTGTTTACTGCTTCTTGATATTTATTAATTACAGCCTGTTGCAGGCACTCCCTCAAGTTTAACTAAAAGCAGTTGCAAATTTTTCTACAAGTAAATGACAGGTGTAAGGAGATGGAAGGAATTTCAACAAGGCGATATTTTATAATTTTGTTTTCACATAGGTGAGTAAAACGAGAGAAAAAGAAAAACATTAAAAGTTAGGATTGTGTGGGTGATACATGTGTGCATGTGAATAAAGTTCACTCACTGAGGGGAAAGTAGCCCGGGGGAATAAGGTCCCTGTGGATGTCGTCACCACAACATGCTGGACAGAAAAAAAGAAACAAAAGGATGAAGACAGGAAGTGTCCTGTTTTTGTAGGTGCTTGACAGCACAATCTAGTGACTTCTTGGCAAAACTAGCAAAGCTTTGTGGGTACATGGCCTGTGCATACCACTCCCAACTCCCCTGGGATGTGCTTTATGAATTTCAATATCTTATCAACATTTGTTTTTTCTAGCAACATTTATATATGTTAGAAATTAAACAAATCACAACTAGAGGATGAAAAATTTTGACGTTATTCTGGAATGTTTTTGTCCAATCTGTGAATTTGTTTTGATCATCCTTAGTCTAAAAAAACACTATATAAAATTCTCTATTTTTTATTCATAATGTTAAATGTGTTAAAATTATTCAACTCTTTAAGAAGAAAAGTTGATGTGAAAAGTTGCTACAAAACATTGTTGATTTATTTAAGATGGAATGATGTATTACAACATGTTTCTAATTTGCATTTAGAAAATTGAGATGTAGTAGAGTGGGAGCCCCATATCATAGATTCAGGGGGCCTCATATCATAGATTCGGTGGGGGAACCATGACACTTGATCTAGGCCCGAATATTATATGAATAAAACTGTACTGTCAGGTAAAGTTGTTACTATTGTTTCACAGCTGTCAACATAGTAAGATCTTAAGAAAAGCCAAAACGGTTTTTAAAAATTTTTATCATCAAAAGTTTTATTTTAAACTAAATTAAGTTTATATTTAAGAAATAACTATTACAATTCAACCTCCTTAATCCGGTACTTCATGGTCCAGCATTTTTTGAATCAGCCAAAATTAGTTCATTGGGCGGCAATAAGGACAGTACCAGAATTTGTTTTAAAGTTTCTGCAGCAGCCAATAACAGCAGAGTGTTTTAGCTCATTATATAGCTACATGATGGTCTTGCTCATTATATAGCTACATAATGATCTTAATCATTATATAGCTACACAATGGTCTTGCTTATTATATAGCTACATAATGGTCTTGCTCATTGCATAGCTACATAATGATCCTTGTCATTATATAGCTACATAATGATCCTGGTCATTATATAGCTACATAATGATCCTGGTCATTATATAGCTACATAATGGTCTTGCTCATTATATAGCTACATAATGGTCTTGCTCATTATATAGCTACATAATGATCTTGCTCATTGTATAGCTACACAATGGTCTTGCTCATTATATAGCTACATAATGGCCTTGCTCATTACATAGCTACATAATGATTCTGGTCATTATAAAGGTACATGATGGTCTTGCTCATTATATAGCTACATAATGATCTTGCTCATTATATAGCTACACAATGGTCTTTCTTATTATATAGCTACATAATGGTCTTGCTCCTTACATAGCTACATAATGATCCTGGTCATTATATAGCTACATAATGATCCTGATCATTATATAGCTACATAATGATCCTGGTCATTATATAGCTACACAATGGTCTTGCTCATTATATGGCGACATAATGGTCTTGCTCATTACATAGCTACACAATGGTCTTGCTCATTACATAGCTACATAATGATCCTGGTCATTATATAGCTACATAATGATCCTGGTCATTATATAGCTACATAATGGTCTTGCTCATTACATTACATAAGCATTACATAATGATCTTGCTCATTTTTGCTCATTATATAGCTACATAATGATCTTGGTCATTATATAGCTACATAATGGTCTTGCTCATTATATAGCTACATAATGATCTTACTCATTATATAACTACATAATGATCTTGCTAATTATAGAGCTACATAATGATCCTGGTCATTATATAGTTACACAATGGTCTTGCTCATTATATAGCTACATAATGGTTTTCCTCATTACATAGCTACATAATGATCCTGGTCATTATATAGCTGCATAATGATCTTGCTCATTATATAGCTACACAATGGTCTTGCTCAATACATAGCTACATAATGGTTTTTCTCATTATATAGCTACATAATGATCTTGCTCATTATATAGCTACATAATGGTTTTGCTCAATACATAGCTACATAATGATCCTGGTCATTATATAGCTACATAATGGTCTTGCTCATCATATAGCTACTTATTGATCTTGCTCATTATATTGCTACACAATGGTCTTGCTCATTATATAGCTACATAATGGTCTTGCTCATTACATAGATACATAATGATCCTGGTCATTATCTAGCTACACAATGGTCTTGCTCATTATATAGCTACATAATGATCTTGCTCATTACATAGCTACATAATGATCCTGGTCATAATATAGCTACATAATGATCCTGGTCATTATATAGCTACACAATGGTCTTGATCATTAAATAGCTACATAATGATCCTGGTCATTATATAGCTACATAATGGTCTTGCTCATTATATAAGTACATAATGATCTTGCTCATTATATAGCTACATAATGATCTTGCTCATTATATAGCTACATAATGATCCTGGTCATTATATATCTACATAATGGTCTTGCTCATTATATAGCTACATAATGATCTTAATCATTATATAGCTACATAATGATCTTGCTCATTATATAGCTACACAATGGTCTTGTTCATTACATAGCTACATAATGGTTTTGCTCATTATATAGCTGCATAATGATCTTGCTCATTATATAGCTACATAATGGTCTTGCTCATTATATAACTACATAATGATCTTGCTCATTATATAGCTACATAATGATCTTGCTCATTATATAGCTACATAATGATCCTGGTCATTATATAGCTACATAATGGTCTTGCTCATTATATAGCTACATAATGATCTTACTCATTATATAACTACATAATGATCTTGCTCATTATATAGCTACATAATGATCTTGCTCATTATATAACTACATAATGATCCTGGTCATTATATAACTACATAATGATCCTGGTCATTATATAGCTACACAATGGTTTTGCTCATTATATAGCTACATAATGATCTTGCTCATTATATAGCAACACTATGGTCTTGCTCATTATATATCTACATAATGGTCTTGCTCATTACATAGCTACATAATGATCCTGGTCATTATATAGCTACATAATGGTCTTGCTCTTTATATAGCTACATAATGATCTTGCTCATTATATAGCTACACTATGGTCTTGTTCATTACATAGCCACATAATGATCTTGCTCATTATATAGCCACATAATGATCTTGCTCATTATATAGCCACATAATGATCTTGCTCATTATATAGCCACATAATGATCTTGCTCATTATATAGCTACATATTTACCCATTCAATATATCACCCAAGAGAGCAGACGCTGCAGATGATGGGTCTAGATCAGTGGTTCTCCAACTTTTTTGCCAATGCATCCTTTTCACCATACGTGAGAATGTCATTTCCCACAAACCTTTCCAAAATTGTTTACCTCAAAAGGATCATTATAAATAATTTGTGTATATTATTGAAAATTTTTATTCTTTTCCATGATAGTACATATACATTTACATAGATTATTTTTTATCTAGGAGTTTTTTACACTCATGACGGGCTCTATATTGTGTAAATAAAAAACAAGAAAAAATAAAAGATTTCTCCCTCCTTCATTGAAACCCAGAAATTCCCTGCTAGAGGGGAATCCTCCTATGATTGAGAACTCCTGTACTACAGGTAAGAAGTGTTAGCATAAATCTTTATGCATGCTTGAACAGGTGAAGTTACTGCGTGAAACAATAAAACCTTGTTTGGAAGTGTTGATGATTGTTTCATTTCTTGTTTTAAGCTTTGTTCTACCTTTGATAACACAGCAATATATATGTGGAATGGGCTGGCAAGACTACATTATTAGTCTGGCAGTGGCCTGATCCCAAGGGTGCCATATTAAAGAGGTTGAACCGTATTTATGTTTCTCTAAATAAACGTTGATATCGAAAGAAGGAAATTTTACATTTTTCAGATTTTCTTTGACCAGAAACATCCAACCGATATAATCAATATTAACTTGAAAGGTAAGCTATTTTTTCGTATTATTTATTCATTTCTTTCTCCCACTCTCCCCCTCTTCTCTCTCTCTCTCTCTCTCTCTATATATATATATATATATATATATATATATATATATATATATATATATATATATAGTACAGGTAATCGATCCGTTGAAATATAATCCGGGTGGATCCTAGTAATATTAATTATTAAAACCACAGAGAGCTCGATGTTTTTATTTTAACAGAGCATATGTATTTTTACCGAAAAAAAGAGAAAAAAACAAACAAAATTACCTCAACATAGGGATAGTCTTTTTGATACTGTTCTTCACGGGGCTATCGTCAGCCTCTAATGTGCTTATTTTGGGGCATTGTTCTAAAATTATTTTCAAAGTCAGTCTTCCTCTAGTAGGCGCCTTGTTAATGAGAGTAGATTTGATTAGCGATTGATGAGGGCATAAGGTATCTTATCCCGGGGGAAACGGTCTGTGTTTGGAGTTTATTTATAGCCAGGATTTTTGTTTGTAGTTTAATATCTGTTCCTACTATATGGCATTTCTTATAAAGGCCCCGGAATGTGTTTTCTGAGATTCACAGAAAATAGTTTTTGTACTACTAAGCGATGGAGGATTTAAACTTAAATCCGTTAAGATTAATGTAAATTAATTGAGTTATAGATTTATAGATTGTGGGCAATACCAGAGCACCGAATAGAATAACTCGTGCTGTCCAACACACTTATATATGTCCATATCTTCATACATACATATATGTGTACATTTACATGATCATACATATATGCCACTATACGTACCCCTACACCCCCACATATATACACATGTATTCTTATGTAATTTGGAATTTATTTGTGTATCTGCATTTCGCGATTAGTTATCTCCGTTGATTTAATAATTTGCATAGATCTTTATATTTTATTATCCTGATTTTTCTTCTAAATATAGCTTGTGTCTACCCCTAAAACTATTAGGGGCGTTTTCCAATTTATTTTTTCTTCAATTCCCAAAATTTAAACTTTTCCTTCAATTCCCAAAACTTTTTCGAAAGGGATGTTTGGTGTTTTGATTTTGAACTGGTGAATGAATGTCTATGTGTATTGATTCTCTTTTTAAATTCTCCTGTAGAAATGCCGATGTAAATATTATGATTTGTTGTATTTTCTTTAGAGGTAATGGTTGCCTGGTATATTACCCTAGTGGATCTGAACTTGCCTTCTACTGGGCAGTTTTCCTTAATTCTACAATTACAGGGGGTTTCCATGTTAGATTTAGTTATTTCCCTATGGAATTTACTTAAAATGTAATTGTTATGGGAGTTAATAATTTGGTACATATTATCAGTGCAGGAGTAACTAATTTTGACAGATTTCCTGTTGAATATCTTATTTAGAGGGGTTTTTGTTTGTTATTTATTTTTTTTTTAAATGTTTAGTAATTAAGTTTAGGAAGTACTGTTCGATGTTGATACTTGACAGTTTCCAGAAAGGGGGTTGAACCAAGTGATTTTTCTTTTCCTATTTTTACACCTACATTCCACTTTTTGCGTATCGGTATTACCAATGTTGGTTGCGTAAGAGCTTTTTTCAGTTGAAACTACTTTTTTGGAGGGCCTTTTCGTATAGTTCTTTATTTTCATTAAAGATTTTTTCATTAGATGATAGTTTACTAATCCTGGTGTAAACGGTAGTGGGTATTTGTCTTGGGATTGTGGTTAGACCCGATATTAATATAGTTGGGGGTTTCATTCTCTTTATGGTAGGGTTTAAAGGTTTATAATTAAGGTTAAGGGTGATATCTAGGTAGTCAACTATTTTAAGGTTAGACGAGATCTCGATCTTAAACCCTAGGAATTTGAAGGCCCTGATAATTTTCTTTTGTAATTTCGTTGTTAGTGGACCATTACTATTAGGGATGAGGATGAGTTCATCATCCCGACACAGCCCTGTTAGTTCCCGATTAGTATTACGATTCTACTAAGCACAACTAAAATGTAAAAACATATTAGGTCTGCAACTTGGGCTGAGTCATAAGCTCCCATGGGGACATCGAATTCATCATTGTGACGCTTAGTCCAGGTGGAATTATTCAGTGTTAGCAGTGATTTTCTCGCCGTTAAGATATTAGTTTCATCATCCGTTATTTCTATATAGTTCTTTGCAAAGTTGATACTATTGACCAGGAGTTCCCTAGTGATAGAGGAATAGAATTCAATTATATGAAACTTAATGAATATCGCTTTATCCTTATTCTTCATATTAGTGAACAATCATATTGTGTCTGACAAATCCTTCCAAAGGTTAGTACTTGGGATTAGTAAATTGTCGGTTATTTTTTTTAATTATATTTTTTGAGATAAGGCCTAGTTCTGTTTTTGTTGGATTTATTAGTCTAGATTGTGTACTGTTAGTGAAGTACTGTTTATGGTCCGTAAAAAAATGTAGGCATCCTTAGTATGGATCTTTCCCACTCTATCTGCAATATTTAACTTTATGGCTATTTCAGTGGTCACTGTATCTATTTCGGACATCCTACTATTGTAATTATCTAGTTTGTGTGTTTCTGTTATTTTTTCCGTGAGGATTTTGTGGTAGTGTGATGGGGAATTACATTTATAGATATTTTTTGATTTGTCTGCTTTTACCAAAATGTCGTTGGAGTTTCTAATTGTTATTATATTTTTGTGTAGTTCTTTTTAGAAGTGATCGGATCGCTTGTTGAACAAACAAGTCCCTTTCGAAAGGATCCAGGAATTTACAGGGTGGTGGAGTCTTTTTTGGGGGTCTTTAGGTTGAAGGTTTCCTGTTTGTAATTTGTTGTTTCTGGAGGGTTAAGGTAGAAAAAGGCTTTCGATCGTAATCTCATTACAAAGTCCACGATTTTCTCCGTGAGGAATATGTTGAACGAATGTAGAGAGGGGTATGGCATGTTTTTTAGGGAGTACTCAGGACAGAACTTATCCATGATGGTCAGTTGTAGAGGTCTTTAGAATTCCAGTTGGATTAATCCCGAGAAAGCTCGACTATAGGAAAAAAGACAATAGGAAAACTGTAGTTTTACACAACGCATTTCGTTCAATATGGACTTTTTCAAAAAAAAAAAAAAAAAAAAAAATCGAAATGAATTTATTGAAACAACGTATCTATAAACTAGTTTCTAATGACATGTTTGTTGTTTATAGATACTTTGTTTCAATAAATTCATTTAAATTTTTGCCTTGAAAAGGTCCACATTAGACGAAACGCGTCGAGTAAACTAGTTTTCCTATTGTCTTTTATATTTATATATATATATATATATATATATATATATATATATATATATATATATATATATGAATATATGCATATATATTTATTTATATTTATTTTTTGATATATATATATATATAATATATATATAATATATTTTTGATTATATATATATATATATTGTTTGGCTCACTAAGTGTATCTCTCTCTCTCTCTCTCTATATATATATATATATATATATATATATATATATATTCATACACGTTTCATTAAATAATATAGACAAGTGTTGTCTATTTATTTTATGTAAATTTTTTTTATATTATTTAATGAAACGTGTATGAATGAAAAGATGCTGCCTAAATACACAATATATATATATGATAAAAATATATTTTTAAAGTATACTTTATTTATAGGTAAAAGTGCTCAACATCAGGGATAGAGCATGTCTAAGTATAAAAATAAACACTGAGGTCAACACCGAGCTGCATAGGATTGAATTCAGTGAGCAATCACCAACACATTTCATGCCACTTCACGCCACCACTTTTAAACCAAGTGGACAGAATCGGCTCCTCCAATTGTCCAATTTTTCACATTTGATTGCATTTTTCATTCAAGGAGGCACCGGGGGACTATTATGTCTTTTCATGCCATTTACGTGTAGCAAAAGGCACCTACTCGCTATAATTTTACTACTGCGCATCGCTGCCCAAAAATGTTCCTTGCACGTTTTCATCTAAATTCGTGCTACATAAATGCCTTCATCATCCATCAGCAAACGAAATTAACATTGCTTCAAATTTTGTTCGCAAGAAGTGTAAATACGCTTGTATTTTCAACTTTTGATCAATAAAACTACCTCATATCTCCTGGCTGCTCAAAATTTTCAAAGAAAAATGAAGCTTGAAAATCCCATTTTCTGATTGGCTGACTTTGAGTGACTACGCTACATCGGTGACGACGTAAATAAAAAAGGCAGTGCTTATTTTGGGATAAGGAACTACATAGCTTTCATATTTATCAATAAAAAAACCCGATACAATAAAGTCGCCAGATACTATTTTGAAACGTCATCCGCCACTGTGCACTGCTTTGACTAACCCAGCTGGAGGTTAACCAATCGCGTCAACTGTTCGAGGTTGCTGCGAGTTCATTGGCACGGTTGCAAACGTTTAACCTTGGGCCTATCCAATCATACGCGCGACCAGTTCTCTTACGCACGCGTGTGCACGTGCGTACGTACGTCATCTTAGTATGTGCGCTCAAGGTCAACCGGCCAACCGCCTCTTTATACCCTAACTCGCAAGCGTGTTCACACTTCTGCGATTACTGTCCCGCATTTGGCTCACTTCATTCGCTTCTTACGGAAACCGCAAGTTGTTGATTATGTATCCAAACTGTTTTTTACTTCCTAGTTATAACTAGATCCGTTTCCGTTTTAGCTTTAGTCGAATTTTTAAAACTTCACTTTTTTTTGTCTTCGATCCCCTTTTGATACAGTTACATACATTTTGGGATCTCTCTAACCTTCCTACGTTTAGACTACATGTATTTTTTGCACTCAAAAAACCTACATACCTTTTATTACTTTTGCCTTTTTAAAATTGGTTAAAATGCTGCCTAAGAGAACAAAACTTTTTGGACGGCGCACGGCTGCTGCCTCCAGTACACAGAAGCAGCAAGGGCAAGTGAAATCACAAAGCAAACTTCGTTGCACCTTTCTCAGATGGCCTCACGCTCTGCTGCCAGCATCTCCACGGAAAGTACCGCTGAACGGACTGAAAAGCTAATAATATAAAATGGCGAAATCCCTTCGCTAACAAAATTTTTAAAGATGCATTACCCTACCGATCACTCAATGAATATTATGATCCTTGTTTTTTTTTAAATTATAAGCTGTATAAGGTCTTTCGTTAATACGCACGTACTTTCGACTGTACATTCAGCCATCTTCAGACATAGAAATTATTTTGTTTTTGGTAAAATTCAGGTAGCATCCGAGACGAAAAAATATAATGCGAATCGAAATATGTTTTTTTGAAATGTGTTATTGATAACAGATACAAACTTTTGGAGCGTGCACTCGCAACGCTAAGGTCGATTTTTTTTAATGTATAAATACATATATAATTATCTTTTATTTATTTCTTGTTTAAATAATCATAATTATATATATATATATATATATATATATATATATATATATATATATATATATAATTATTTAAACAAAAAATAAAAAACAGAAACACCTATATTTTCAAAAGCTAGTGAATATATATATATATATATGATCATCCACAGGCCTGTTTTGTTGTATCACAGATCATCAGTGTGGCTAGAGATCCAGTCTAGAGATCCAGTTGCCTCAAGCAGGATCGAAACCCTACTGACTTGGCTTCAGTCGGAGATCCCACTCCTAAGCTACCGGTGCATAGCAGAGGGGGAAGGAACATTCTAACGTATTGTATACGAATGTAAAAAAAAAAAAAAAAAAGCCAGTAGCCAACAGTCCTCAATTCATTAATGAAGAGCAGTGTGTTAATGGTGGTGACGCTACTGTTTTGGAATTGCCTTCCCCGCCGACAATACTCAATCGAATAAACGAGAATTATATATCCAAGCTTACAACACCTGGTATTCCCAGGCAGTCACCCATTTAGGTACTGACTAGGCTCAACATTACATATTGCTGATTGGTTGAGAACTGGCATTTAATTGTGATATGGCCATACATGATTAATTTAATGATGATGTTTCACTTACATGTCCTATTATTTTAACCTATATCTGGGGGAAGAACAGATGGACTCATATCTTTTTCGAACCATTATCTCTCACACCACACACACATACAAGATTACAGCACCTGATATTCCCAAGTGATGACCCATCTAGGTACTAATCAGGCTCAACATTGCTTAACTTAGATGGTTGGATGAGAACCGGTGTTTCAACATAATGTAATCATAATTGTACAAAAACATAAATACATAGAATCAATAAAAAAAATTTCAATTTTAAAAATCTTTTAAAAACAAATGTCGGCTATCCCAATATAATAATCTTTTCAAATGTGATTGAAAATCGTTCTAGTGCCTTGTAATGACAAAAGCAGAACAAACATTTGGGATTACGAGGGGGTGCTAAAAAGTTTCAGATGTGAGTTTTAAAATTTTGATATTTGGTTATTTTGCTAGATTTAACAACGTAGTTCTGGACAACAACTTCTCAGACTGCAAAATTGTATATGATGGAGAATTATGTGACTTCTTTTTTTTTCAGACCAGATGGTCCTCATTGAACTGATTCAAAAATCTCCCAAGAATGGGGCTTTTCAACTGGCAACATACTGTGATTCAGCCTCAAGTTTCCTTTATCCTTATTTTTCTCTTACACCTGTCTATGCCAGCAGCCAAAGAGAACTTCTCATGTCTCGGTCGCCGGAATATACAGTGAGTAAACTAGTATCTTTATCAGTGTATGCCCTTTACAAAAAATTGCTTAAAATAACAAGAAAACCATGTTTTCAACTGACCATACAATGGCTAAACCATTCATATAAAAAATGGAATCCACTAGAAATTCTATTAGGGTATTTAGAAAGTAACTATCTATATTCTCCAGTAAAATATGGACCAACCAAAGCATTACAAATTTCACTGCTATAAATTATGAGCCAAAAAACAAAAACAAGGTTGAATAGTGGGAAACTGTTTAGAGCAATGATTCCCAACGTGGGGCACATACTCCACCAGTAGGGCATGGTAATATTTTGGTGGGGTATGCGTAGAATGTGCATCCTTTGGCATACTATACCAACAGAATAAAGGGGCAATTCGAGAATGAGTTATTAACAGTGAATTGTTTTCTAGTGAGTCTGAGTGAGAGTGTTAATGTTAATGCATGTTAATACATACGATGCATATACAGTATGCATACATAAAAATATTTTGTGTGTATGTACGTACATGTTTAATTGGCATACATGGTATTTTCCGTCACCCCACACTCGCGTGTCTCAGTCAACAAAGGAGAGGGCCTGATGCATGTCACTAGAAGAACCCATGTTTTGTCGGCCAATCAGCGCGTGTGAGCATTCAGTTTGCTTCCTTCATGTGAACTGCAGTAAAATTTGTAAGAATTAAATATTACAGGCGAGCACCAGATTTTTAGAAATACCAAAGTTGGGCATGGCCCAAAATCGGGGACCACTGGTCTAGAGTTAGTTTATCATCTCTTCTATGGGGATATTTGGAAAGTAATTACGTATTTCTCTGCTATGAATTTTGAGTCAACCAACAAAAGTAGAGCCAAGGTTGAATTGTAGGAAATTGCACCTAGTAGTAGTTTATGATATCTTCTGTCTGATAGGGTGTCGTTTATAGTGCATTTCAGAGCTTAATTGAGAAAACTTGCAAAGAGAGAATTTAAGTTCTTCATATGTTTTCGCTTGGGGACGAAACAAAACATTCAAACATTTGTAGCAGTCTGTCTTTTAAACAAGAATATCAACCTTTCATTTTTGTCTAGCGTCTAGAATTGGCTTATCATCTCTTCTGTTCAGCAAGTAATTATTTATTTAATGGCTATGAATTATGAGTCAATCAACCAAGGCAAAACCAATGATGAATGTTAATTGCGTGTAAAATTAGTTTATCATCTCTCCTGTCTGACAGTATGTAGTTTATAATGCAGTTCAGTATTTAACCCCATTGCTTACTGCGGTGGTTCCTCAATTTTTTTTCTTTGAGACGCATTTTCGGAATTCAAATTTTCTCACGCATTACCAGATTTTATGTGATAAAACGTACATTTAAAAATAAAAAGTAACAAAGAGAGAGTTAGAGTGAGATAACCGCGTATTTCAAGTCAGAACATTATCATTGATAACTCTCTCCTCCAAATTGTGGATTCTTAATACGTGATATAATGCAGAAATATGACAATGATAAAATCGGTCAATAATTATTTATAACTATTTATACTGGGACTCATGCATGCAATTACAAGTATAGTAATATGAAACTTTTTAAATTTTTGATTGTCTTTCAACCATACCGTCTCATCTGCTAACCTCTGTGCTATGCTGCACCATTTGGGAACCGCTGGCTTACTGTATGAATTCTGAAAGGGTAGTGCTTCTGCTGATGTATTTAAAAACATTTGTGCAATGTATACAGATGCATTAAAGGCTTCTGTGTGTCAGCTGTGGTTTAAAAGGGTTAAAAGGCGATTGTAACATATCTAATCTAACAAGATTTTTTCTGGAAGGAAACCCAATTTGAAGGAATAGCTTTTGAAAGATGATACTGGATTGGATCCACATCAAAGTACCAGAGATTTGACACAGAAACTCAGTGTGATATGTTCAACTACTTATGAATATCTCAAGTGAATTGAGAAAACCTATGAGCTTTCACTTGAGAACCAAACACAACATTCTACCATCTGCTGCTGTCTTTTAACTAGGAATGCCAACCATGCATTTTTACATTGCATTGTTACAGGTGATGAAAAATGGGTTTTGCATGTCAACAAAAAAAGAAAATAACAGTGTTTATCACAAAGTGAGAGAACCGGTGTTAACACCAAATGAAGGATTCCATCCATAGAAGTACTTGCTTTGTGTTTGGTAGAAAATGAAAGATTTCATCCATTGTGAGCTTATGGAACATGAAAGGGCCATCACTGCAGACAATTATTGCCAGCAACTTGATCAGGTAAATGAAGAATTACATTATAATATCCTGATTTGGTAAACCAAAGAAGGTATTATACTCCAGCATGACAATGCAAAGGCACACTCTGCAAAACAAGCCCAAGGAAAAATAAAATCTTTAGGACAGGAGGTTCTTCCACATCCACCATACTCACCAAATTTATCATCTGCATATTTCCATTTGTTTCGATCATAAAAACATTTCATAAGTAGCAGAATATCCATGTATGGATACAAAAGGTGATTATCTCCCTTTGCTTTGGATGAAATCACATGGGTCATGTGAAGGCCACTTAATGCCACCACTTTATAGAGTGATGAAAGTCCGTCAGTCAGCTTCCAAAACTCAAACTGAGCATTTGCTTTTTTAGCACAGGTGAAGCCTTACCTCACCGGAACTCTGTCCAGCCAGTCAGCTACCACACGGGGTAGCTTACAAGCCCATTGTGCTGTCTTCCTTTCGAAATATATCCTCACCTCTTTCCAGGTTGCTGTCCTCAAGTTGTAAAATACCCATGACTCACTGTTTACTCATTTGAGGAATATATCCTCTCTAGTGATCAAGAAGATAAATATGGCCCACCCAAATCTCTATTAGAAAATATAAATATGGCTTCTCCAGAGACAAAGAGA